CATGGATCTAAACTCTTACACGAGTAGGCTTACAAACGCTATGCGTTCAGTTAAACCTGCTCACACTCGACCTCAATCAACTGATGTTTTCGTTCAACCCGAATCACGACATAGTACACACGTCTTCGTTCGTCGAGACTCACATCGACGACCCCTCGAATCAGCATACGAAGGACCCTTCAAAGTTCTTCAACGCGAACCTAAGTACTATGTAGTCGATAAGAACGGTACGAAAGATAGCATCAGTATCGATCGACTCAAAGCTGCGTACCTAGAAGGAAACCCTAGCTACGTCGATTTTCCTTCGGTACAAGCAAACGACACAGCTACTACACTCGTAGTACCCTACACGACAACCGACACACAACTTGATACTTCGTCAACGTCGATAGAAAAACCTAAAACAACGCGTTCTGGAATACGAGTAAGATTTCCAGAACATCTTAACGAATATTGCACGTAGGACATAAGCTTTATCTTGAATTACCCTTTCAAAGTTTATTATAAATTTTTTTAAATATGCTCATTTTTTATTTATGTAAAAAAAACAAAAAAAAAACATTTTTTTGAGCGTATATATATATATATTTATATATTGAAAAAAAAACCAAAAGAAAACCTTTTTTCCGATCGCTTTTACGCTGTTTGTAAGTGTATCAGTTTATTTTTTTCCGCTCATCTTGTGTCCTTACGCAAGTACGAGTGTATTTTTGACATGCACTCACACGTTTTATTTATCCTCTTTTCCAGGACGGCTGGAAAAGAACGACGAAGTTTCGCAAGGAACAGAAATTTTCATTGTACTATATTTCTTTATTTGCTACGTTGTACATTTTGGTCCCATAGTTTAAGGAAAGACGACCAGACGCTGCTAAACGAAGCAAGCTATCAGAAGAGTGTTTACCAACGACAAATTCGTTGGGTTTAAACTTCTGGCTGGTAACGTCTTAGGGGCATCACTACCTCACTAGGGGGGGAGTGATCTGTAGCTGTAAATAATTCCCCAAAATCAATAGCTCATTAAGTGTTCGACATTGGATGCTGACCACGTTGTTTAAGTGGACTTGTTTAGCTGAAGGCTTTCGGTCATGCATCCGCACCAGATCACGTTTCGACTCGGCGTGGGACACTGCTCCTACGTTTCATTAGCCAGCTCATAGAAAAGGTCCTCGATATATTGGTAACGAATCAAATATATCTTTCCTGCCTCCTCTCGTCTGACTTCTGATTTCTATCTGACTGGGAACGACCGAACATAGAAGGTGCTACTGGTATCCAGTTGTAAAACTAGAATATCCGTATGCCTATTCGTATGCCATCAGATTGTTGTATAAGTCACTATCGTTTCTGAGACACTGATTGACATCGCCAATCAAGTTTGCCTCTCGTGACTTCGATTTACATTCCTTAACCTCTTATCTGGTATCCGTCTACAGCCTAGAGCCATCAACCTTGACAAATACTATGCCCTGATTCACACAGTCAACTCGGAACTATAGTAACATTTACTCCGATTGGTTAGTCGAGACGTAATCCCTTACCTTATATCCAGCCTGTGGTTTGAATTTGGAACTGTAGTCAGCCTACTGTATTATGTTTCAAATACTAATTCTAACCAACTAGCAAAATAGCCGTCTGAAGTGCTCGTTACGTTATAAAATAGGGAGTTATGCTTATATAACGATCTAAAGGTGTCAGTAAAACTGAGCACGTTGCAGATAATCAGTTAGTAGTAATTTTGGAACAATAAAGCATTCAGTGGCAGTTAATGAAACAGGGAGAGGTTAAAATACGCAAAAAAGAGAAATAAAATTATTCGGCCATCTACTAACGATACCATATAAGAATAAGCAGTAAAAATCCATCACTCTGCTTATATAGCTTTTCTAGGGTCACTGACAGTCCAAGGTTCGGGAAAAGGAGGACGGTTGGACATGGGGTCAGCAAACGAACCCCATAGAAAATAACCTTACAAAAAATACTAACTGTGATAAACAAATTAAATCATCCAAGCTCTGTCCTGATAACTGAGTGAAGAATTATGACACCTCATGATGAAAGCAGAGATTCTTAAGAAATTACAAAATTGATCTCTATTCTAACAACCACAGCAACAATTAATGTAGGCACATGGAATGTTCAGACAATGTGGGAGACCGATAATACCAATCAAATAGCAACGGTAATGCGAAGATACAACTTGACGGTTCTCGGAATCAGAGAAACCCATTGGGTACAAGCTGAACAGCAAAGATTAGATACGGGAGAAATGATGCTGTACTCCGGTCACCAAATGGAAAATGCTTCATAAACTCAAGAAGTTGCTCTAATGTTGTCCTGCACTTATAGGGTGGCAATCTCATGCATCCACAGTCATTGAAGCATCCTTCAAAACAAAGAAGGAGGAAATCAAAATGAATGTTATTCAATATTATGCACTCACTAATGATGGCAACGACGATGATAAAGATCAGTTCTATCAGAGGCTGCAATCAATCATAATGAGGTTTTCAAGAAAGGATCTCACCATCCTGATGGGAGACCGAAACGCCGAAGTCGGAATGGATAACACAGGATATTAAGATATCATGAGACGATATGTACTGAGAGAGAAAAGTGAAAATGTGGAGAGATTTGCAAATTTATGTCCCTTCCACAAAATTGTTATAGGCAGCACAATATTCCCACACAAACCAACATGGGTCTGACCGCATCACACCACGGAGACCCACATCGATCATGTACGCATCCTACGTTTATTTATTAAAATAAATTTACACGAAATCATTCCTTATTATTATAATCCCACTTTCTTTAATTTTTAAATAAACACATATAATCCCATTTTGCGCGTGTTAAGAATGAAACCAAACATTCTGAAACTAATCCACGTATTTTTCGACCAGTTCCTGCCGCTTTCTTTGTTATTTATCACTCAGCTTGTCAGTCAATACATGGAGGATTCAAATTATTCTTGGTAACGTCCGGTGAGTGACATTCCCACTCGATTCGGTATCGAATAAATGTCACGTTGATTCTGGTATGAGAGTAGTGTGGTGGCATTAGGACACAACCACACAATCGTTGAATCTGGGCATATAACTACTGAAAAGCTTCATATTCAACAACTGACACAAATAGAGGGTTAACAATGGAGAACGCTGGAACATTAATTCGAGATCCAATCGGATGGCATAGCTTGGCCTTGCACATGTGGTCATTCTTGTGTAGCCTAACTTTTTTATTCATATTAAATATATTGTTCTACCTCTAGCCTGAATGCGTTCTCCATCATATATTGGTGATCGTACGATTGGACAAGTCAATGTTCACAATGATGTGACTTCCACGTAAGATCTTATTGATAAGATAGTCGGTTCATGATAAATCTAAAATTTTAGGATTAGGTTTGTCATTGTAGCGATACAAATAGCGAGGTAGACCGTAGTTTTACAAATTTTACAGGGAGCCTTCTAAACGTTTTCCAAAAGCTAAACACTAGGGTGGATTTAATCCTCATGCAGATAGCTCAAACCATCAAAAGATATTAAGGTGGATATTTTTGTATTCCGGCTCTGCGAACAGATAATGACGGTCGTCTGTTGCCACCGTGCTCAAACAACCGTTTATTTCCAGCAAGCACTAATTTTAAGCATAAGGAAAGACATTGTCTAACATGGTGGCCACCTGCACCAAACCAACGATGGACTCAAATAGACCCTATTGCCATCAGTCTTCGTCTCTCACTGGACGCAGAAAAGCCACATTAAGAAGACTCATTAGAGTTGAACTCAGTGACGAGAAAACCAAACGAATATTCCGGGAACAACTGAGGCAGTTCTGAAAACGAGGTTGACCCAGGTGTTGCTTGGAAAGATATACGAACAACTGTGGAAACAGCAGTGACATCCTTTAATGATTTGAACTAAAGGGTCACGAAAAACCAATGGATTTCTGCGACATCTATTGCACTGATTGATTCTTGTAAACTAATAAAATCAGGCTCTGAACACAATGAAGAATGAAAGCAAATCAGATATAAATTAACCGAAAGTTTAAGGAAAGACCGTGAGCAGTGTTGTGCAACGAATGCAAAAGAAATGGAAAAGGCAGCGGCTGTAGGTAACACCAGACAGCTTTTCAGACTAGTGAAAGAAACTGGGACTAAGAAGTCAATTGTAAGCCAGACAATCTCGGAAAAAGACGACACCTTTATGAACCAATGATAAAGTCGTTTGTCTGAAAATATCGATTGAGTTGTCCGAAACCATTTTAGAACTAGATGACGCAGTAGTACAAATGACTAGGGTAGGAAAAAATGATGCGGTAGACGAACTGATGAAAACGAAAATACTTACAGGAGAGAATTTTTAGCTGAAAGATATAAAATAATGAACGGTAATTGAAATTATCCCTTGATGGAGTGGTTTGACAATTCATACAATTCGTCTAAGTGTATGCATACTGGAAAAAAAGGCCAGTTTAAAAAATGCATCGCTGGCCTCATACACTTCGAATACGGAATGTCGGTAATATGTACGTGGCATAAAGAAGCAAATACGGACGGAAATTTAAAACCTGGCAACGACAACGAATATCCCGAAACAGGGTAAAGGGAGATAGAATGAAACATCTCAGTGAGTACCATACACGAGTGGTTAAAAATCAATAAATCCTATTGGTCAATTGATTTTTTTGCTAAATTTTGAAGTAAACACGTACAGAGATACATTTGAAGTACGAAACTCGAAAAATACTGATCTTTTAGCGCCTCAATGTTAAGAAAATTATTCGTTAAAGGTAGTATTTTACCGCTACAGGGTTTTCTTTGATTGAATTCAGTTACGTGAAAGCTTATCTCTGTGTCACCGCATGAAATCAATCAGCATGCCATGATGTGAGCAGGAAAAACTATAGAACTTGGTGCTATGATTAGGTTTTTTTTAAGCCAGAAAATCATAACAATTTCCCTGAATTCGTTTGGTCAAAGACAATAAATTGTTGAATGGTGACCTTAGGCTTGTTGTATTAGAGCGGTCAAAAATATACTTCACTAAATTTTTTTAATGTGATTACAGGAATAATTAGGCTGATGATAAATGATTTTCTCAATTCACTGTTTGTACATAGAAATGCGCTACGTCAGCCATCTTGTGCGCGCTACGTACGCACTACGTAGACGTGGTGGGTAACAACTTACTTACAATCTCTGGAAATTTTTAACGTTGTCGCTCCAGATTCTCCAGATAATTAGTGCCTGAGGAGTTAGTGTATTTGATGTTTGATGGAAAATAAGCTCTTCGTCTCTGAAATGCCAGTTGATGGTTGTGAAAAATCTTCAAGGTAAGCTTCCTCACGTGACGCCATATTGCTTTTTACTTATGGTCTAGAATTTTTGTATACAGGCTCCCTAATACATATTTTACTTGTTTTGATATGATTGTTGGTTATATTAAGTGATTGTATGTTAAGTCGATTGTGATTTTCGTCGAAGTCTTAAAATTCTTTGGCTGTCTATTCCTAATCTTATACACAGACCTGCCGACACTGGTGTTATCGCTCACGGTCATCATGATCAAGAAAAAAGAGTTCGTAGGGAAATTGCTAATAGCAATGAGCGACGGCGGATGCAAAGTATCAACGCTGGGTTCGACTCTCTGCGGATCCTATTGCCATCCATATCGGACGGGGAAAAAATGAGCAAGGTAACTAACGTTTTTGACACTTATTTGGTTAGGCGACAATTTTACAATTGACTGCCAAATATATCAACACGCTACTCATGCGTGTTAGTTTGCTGGAAAGCGAAGTAGCTGTGTACCGACAATCAGCTGGTTTGCAACTAAATCCAGTCTCATCAGAGTTGTCTGGTTCATCCGTGACTTCCAGGAAACGCAAATCTGATGATTTAAGTAAGTATGAAATTCTTCAAAGCTCTTATTTTTGCAGAGGACCGGCCGGACTGTATTCGGAATCGACGTCGACGAGTTGAGATCGAAGGGATATACGACTCATCTCGCACGAGTTACGTCCACTTTTCTCCTGAAAGCACCGATACACACCAGTCATCCCCACTTACATCTTTCAATAGTAGCACATCGATCTGTTCAGCATCTCCTCAGCCTGACAGCACAAGCAGTACTGCTGCACGACTCGAACATTTGGTGATGGCAATTGAGCAGATTGAGGGGGGTGGCGCTCTTAATGTGTCTCCACAACCTGAAAGTCATGATGAGAGCTTCTCCACTGGAGACCACTCACCTCCGGAAACATACTGGCATAGTCCACAAGAAAATTATCACGGATATGCCTATGTTGATGCCCAAACATCTAATCAAAAGTCTAACAATTTGTTTGCTGATTCCCTCCTGCTTACTCCAGTATCGGAAATTAATCCCTCTTTAAATACTAGTGACAATGTCCAGACTCACAATACTGAGGATTACCCTATTGTAGCAAAACTCCTTAACCGCCCTATTCCTCACAAATACCTCCACAGGCCTCAAGTTGTGGTTAATAGTTCCCACTGATTTCCTATTTCTTTTAGTTTCGCATTTTCAACTCCTAACTTTGTCTGGATTAATCCGTATGAACTCCGCTTGCGGAAGTTTTCTTAGCACGGTGTATATACGTATATTTGGGGTTTATCATGTTATTTCCCTGGAACTTAACTATATATTTTGTGATCTTTTATATCTTTAGTTTTTCGTTTGTTTTGGGTGTGGTTTACTAAGTTTTAAGCCATCTAAGGTTCTTAATGTCTAGCACTTTTTGTATTTTGTAAAATAATGGTTTGTTTTCCGTTGTGTAAAGCTGACCATAAACCTGAGTGGACATTTTGCAGACTACGTAAATGTTCTCATATCTTTTGACGATTTCAATTAAATTGTTCTTGAGTGATGCCTCACTTCTGTTTGATAAGTTTCTGTTATTTTACTTACCTGTTGAGGTTCTGAATAATCAGCCGACTAACATTTGCGGAGCTTCTAAAGAAAATGTATTAGTATCTTTTGTTTAATTGCTGGAATTTACTCACCATTCTCATTGCCTATTAAACGCGTTCACTGTAGAAGTAGTCCATACTAGGACGAAACTTCTAGGTTTTCCATAGTGGTCTAGCTTTCATTGACTTATGAACTCAACAATGAAAATCTCTTTCGTCTATGAAGATTGTAAAAAAATTTCATTTTGTGCCAAGCGTTTCCCACCGTATAGATCCAGTGTTTCATCATGACTAGTCTTCACCGCCTAAATGGTCTTAGGTAATAAGTCAGTTGTGCATATCAATCACTTCACTTACCTCTGATATTTCGTCGGGTTTGATAAATTGAGGTCCAAAAACTCGAAACGCTCAGTAAGCTCGCTTGGTTTTGCAAACTTGCATTACCTTTGGCGTAAACAGTATGTCCACTTGCTAACCAAAGAATGAGTCTGCAGCACGGCCCTTGTTCGTGGCTGCGAAACGTGTCCTCCCAAAAGGAATAGATATTCGTGGGTAACTCGTACTAGGCCGTGGATGCCTCTGAAGCGCTGTTCATGCATGCTTTGACAATCATGTAAGCAGTACTAACGTTAGGTACTGAGTAGTGGTTACAAATGGCGAATCAACTGGCAATGTGCTGAACCGTCGTCTATTGAGGTGGTTTGGCCATGCTCCTTACCACTGTCCTCGGTGGGCAACGTTCGCCGGTGTAGGAGTAGAAAGAAAACCGGGTGTGGTCAGATATGTGATCAGCTCGTAAGACCATCAACTACTGGAATGAGTTGTTTTGGTATGCGTAGACTACGTAGTTGGGGTTCTTGCTATTTTAGTGACCAATGTTTGGAGTCTATAAGTGATTTGGGTTTGTTATGTGGCGATCTTGAGTTTGCTATCTGCCTACCTCTAAACGAGTTGTAGGATAGTCGCATAGATATTGATTACACGAATCCACTTTTTTGTTCACGATTCTCCATGTTCAGTATTTAATGCCTTCATTATATATTTGTCTTGGTCATTTCATTATGTGTTAATATAGTGTGGGTGACTGAACTAATACACATGCTACGGGTTTTACTCTGCTTACGGCTAACTAATTGATCTTGTGCTAAGTTCTCAATATCACTTGCATCCTGTTATAGTACAGAGGTCAGTTTGTAGCGATCCAGTCAGCCCGGAAACCTAGCTATCACACTACCTAGTCCTTGCAGTAGAAATGCATCTGTATCCAAAAGACTGCTGGTGATTTCTTTGATGAGAGGTCAGGGGCGTTTTGTTGGTTTTTAAGAATGACCATCTTATTTTTCCTAAAACTCACAAGTGGTTGTGGTGTCGACACACTATTCATACTTGTGTTGTCATGATCCGCTCAGTGTTTTCAGTCGAATACCCTGCTGCGTTCACTACCTTGTGGGGTTGGAATAAAATTTCATCATGACCTAGTTGGACCATACTGACTAACGCTTGTCCCTTGAGGTCCTATCATTTTGAGCAGGTCGTTTTGAGGACATTATGACAGGTTCCGAGACCTGGTTGTACTACTGGCCGCCACGGTATGGGGGAACTAAGGTGTTTCTCGTGAGCGTCCGGTATCAACGCAACCTCAAAAAAAGCACAAAGTTTTAAGTGATCAGCTTTTGAAATAGCTCTTCACTTAAGCCCTATAGAATTTCCATCACCAGCAGTAGGGCCCGAAGAGTAGTGGGGGAACGCCGAGCACTGCTCACAGAAAGGTCGTGTGTGGCCGACCTCAAGCAGTGGTCAATCTTGACTCACCGAGTCCACTACTAATCTGGTTTCATCTTCAGACACCTTAAGAAGTATCCACGGCACGGAAATCTAAGGCGTTGCAACAATACACTTCTGCTGACGAGCTCGTGTAAGGAATCTACTCGTCATTTTTCGCACGCCACTGATACCACGGATTAAAGATAGTAAACGTTATCCCTAATCTCCTGAGGTCGCGATCTAAGTAGTGTATCTGTCTTTCATTATTTGAGCACTTTCAGATGGGATACTAGGTTTCATTAGGTAATACGGTAATATCGCATCACTAACATACGGAAGGCATTAGAAGAAAGCTAGTAGTAGGTAACTCAATGTTTCACCTGTTCGGAAAGTTGTTGACTTTTTTTGTGTCGTATTGTTAGATGCAGATAACTGGCTAGTTAGCTCTAGGAGTCCTTGAGGACGGATGTACAAATTTACCAGTAAGACTAGGATTCTAACTAGAGCCTCGGATCTGGACCTAATCATGTCAGACTGTTCGTCCCAGCTTATAGGTAAGGGTGGAAATCATCGTAGGATAACCATATAGGAATTAATATGGTGTTCAAATACTATTCTTCATAGTCATGTGTAGGTGATATATTCACTTTCCTTTGGGCGTAGCTGTACTTGGTGATTCCCAACAATTATATTTCTTAATCTCAAAGCTACTTCTGACAGGTTTTGTTGCGACGTCTGTCATCGAAAGACACTAAAGGAGTATATATACATCTTGAGGAATCTCTTATAGGTAAGTCATAACTTCCAAAGAACTGACATCTGGATTGCTAAAGTCAAGTGGTACTCATCAAGGTTGCTTACTTTCTTCATATTCGAATTTATCAAAAACATTTTTTTGTCGATAACGCTTTTCTCATCTGACATCTCAGATAGTGATCTACACGGAATCATTTATTGAATTAGTCGAATATGATGTAATTCTACACCCCCAAAAAGTGAAAAATGTTCTTTACGAAACCTTGAATAGAAGAGCAAGGATGTTAAAGATGTGCCTTTTTCCCTTTGGATCGGTAATATTGTTTAGGGATTACTCTTTGTCTATATCTACTTTGATTCATGGAAGTGATGCGTTGGGATAATGACTTCACTGACCTTGGAAGTCTCATCACCCCTAGTGGGTGATGAAATTCCGGAATGAATTTAGGGTACTCGTCTGATGTCACTTGTTGGGTGGGTGGGACGTTCATCTACCAATAAAGGGGTCTCTCCCAGGCGAGTCGTTACTCGCCTGGGATGGGATCACGGTGTGATTATTTCTGAGCTTTAGCTAAAGGCATTTGATAAGGTCATATTCATTTATAAGGCTACAAATCTTCAAATGAGGTGACGAGTGTGTGCTACTCATGCCTACCCGACGTACAACAATTACTGATTAAAGTAAGTTAGAAGGCTAGGGGTAATGTTATCAAAACATTTTCAGTTATTTTGGGATATTCAACATATGATGACTTACTGGTTGGGTGCTGTGCAACACGCTTAATCATTGGCTGAAAACGTTATATGACAACGCAAAATCGGTCGCGTCGACGGTTACATTTGTCCTCTTTCTCTCTTCAAATCTTAGATATACCTAACTATCCACCCTTTGATCTCATTTTTTTTACTACCGTTTAAGTCTGTAATATTTCGCACTGTGTCTGGTTTTGTTGATTTCTTCTCCTTTTGTTGACGTGAGTTGTGATGATTTAGACCGATGCGTAATCGTGCTAGGTTCTATAATGATTTTGGTTGTGTAAGTCTTGAGATCACATCTATTTGGCCATCGATATGTTACACCTTAAGTATAAATCCAGTGCAAAATATCAGGTAGTCGTTGGATTGTATCGATCCGTATTGTTCACTAGGTGTCTGTTTTGACGTGTACTCCTTATTTAGTCGAAAGCTCTTAAAGCGCCTGTGGTAAGGATTTTACTTATACGCTTGTGAGAGAAGTGACATTTTTTAATTCGTGTACGTAGGTATAGTATTTTACTCAGGCAATGATGAGTAAAACTCGTTCACTGAATATTGGAGTATGAGGTACATTATGCGTAAGTGTTATTTATACCTTCCAGTTCCCAAACCGAAGTGCTTGGAGTGGGGTTCAAACGTAGTACTTGGTGATTGAAAGTTTAACTTCTTAACCAATAAACAACCACTTCACTTTCGTTTAAGTACATTCTGTTAGTCAGTTTTCAATCACACTGTGGACATAAAGATTCTGTGCATCAGGATCAGAATAATTAAGAATTTTCACTTTAAGCCACGTCTTATCCCTTAATATTTAACTAGAACTACAAAATCTAAACTGATAGCGAATCATAATACTTGCCTCACAAAATTGTAGTAGTTTAAGGTGCTAACTTCACTAAAACAAGGGGTTTACTAAAATTAGTAAGAAATAAATAAACAATGGGATGCTTTACAAAACTAAAGTATTCCTTGCTGGATAAATAATTGTTAGATAATGCCTAAGCAGTCAATAAAGAGGAAATAAAGGCAAACAATGGGGAGATGAGTTAAAAAACAAGGAAATAATGGGAAAATGAGCCAGGAAGGTTCCATTTTCGCCTAGCATGGGGGAATAATGCGGAAATCTTCCTTTCTGTCACTCTGTTTGGAATGTCTCTGAACTGTCTACTTTTCGCCCATAAACACGCTGAGTTGTCTACTTTTCGACATTTCTCCTAAATACTCGACGTCAGGGGGGAACCTACATTTTATCTTTATTCCCTCCTTATTGGTTACTAGAATGGGATCCAACTTTTACTTGAAAGGTGAGCAGATTACTCTTAACGTGTGACCAGGGAAGTTTGTTAAATTGCACTGACCAGGCTCCTCTAGATTGCATTGAGTATAGCTTTTACTGAGCAATTTATTTTACGCACGCGGCTTCGAACAACATGCTTTTAAGTGAGGATTCGTGATCCCACTCGGTTCCTCAGACCGAAATAAGTGGAGCGACAATCAGATATTCATTTCCAAAACACGAAGTGCTCTAATCACTTATTCCCACTCCATTATAACATAGTAATTATGTAACTTGATGGTCTGTATTGATTGTATAGTGTTCATGTAGTTAAGAAACCACTTGAAATGAAACAAATCTTCATAATTGAATAACACAAAAGGAATTATTTTACAAACACGAAC